CTGAACAGTGCAATGAGCATTAATAATTTCATCATATTTTAACAAGCTAGTTTCTCTCTCGATTAACACTGAAAGCCATTCCTGCAACACTTCTAGGTTTGGATTCTCGCTTTGCAATTCCTCTTCCAATTTCCTTATTAATTGTTGCACTATTACAAACTGAACCTCTAATTTTTCTATTTCTCTCGATAGTTTCTTCAAAACTCATTTTCAAAGATAATTTGCATGCAGATAAAATGAAATGACTCACCTTTTGGCCTGATGCTACCAGAAACTTTTTGTATATTGTAACTTACTTAATATTCCATACTCGGCATCAGTGATTCAGTGGTAGAATGCTCGTCTGCCACGCGGGCGGCCCTGGTTCGATTTCCGGCCGATGCACCAGAAACTTGTTGTATGTAATAACTTACTTAATATTCCATATTCGGCATCAGTGATTCTTGATATGTTTATATTATCAAGTAAAGACACTTTCCTTTAACTAAATCTATTTAATGAAGAGAAGACTATGTACAAGTATTATATACAGATTTACAGATCTAGTTTATGCCTCTGTCAACCACTCTCATCAACCTCTCAACTCTCTCTAGAGAAAACTCTTCATTAGCTACACAAACGGGCGGCGCAGCGCCCTCTATCTCTTTTTTCTACAAGTACTGCTATTCCTTCATTTGCATTTAACTGCGATTCTAAAAACACTCTGGCAGGAAACTTGGATAGTGAACAAAAAAGGGCCGATGATGGCAGTTATATTTGCAGAATTAAGGTATTAAGGTTTGCTTGATGCTATAAGGTATTAAGAAAGTAAAATGTTTATATATATATATATATATATTTATATATTAATTTATTTTGCTTAAAATTTAGTCTTGTTAATGCTATGCTGTTTGAGTTTTGCAATTTAAAAAAAGAAAAATTTGAATTTATTCAGAAATATGGATAATATTTTCATAAACTAAATATAGGATGATAAAATTGTGGAAAGAAATGACACAGTGATAAAACTACAGAAAATTGATATCCAATAGTACAAACATACATAAATTTATCAAAAAACATATATAAATTTATCATTTATGTATCATTTTTGAACGGCTCATTTAAAGCCATTAACTGTGTATTAGGTAGTTTGTCTTTAAATGCAAAATGCAGTTTTCAAAGGCATCACGATGAATACTGTGTGCCAAAGTATTCTTTTGAAAGAAATGCTATTCAAATAAATAAAATCAGATTTAAAAAAAAAAAAAATACATAAATAAACATGCTTAAAGTACACAATGCAAATGAATAAATATAACTTATAACAATAACTATTTGAAGACCTATAAATCAAACATGCAATTCAAATAATTAAAATAAAATTCTAAAAAGAAGGAAAAAAATGGAGTCTAAAAATAAGAACTATTAAGTTATATAATATGAAGTGAAAATATATGCAAGAAAGAAAAAAAGATGCTTTTTTCCCTGCTCATATAGATTGAAAAGGAAAAACTAGATTGTTGTATACTGAGAAGCTCACCAAGTTAATCATCTTTGCACAAAGTAAAAAAAAAAGTGCACCAAGGTAAATTACTGATTAAATTTCACACAAAATTATACAAAATTTGTTTTTTTAGCTCTTATTTAAGTTGTAAAATTGAAATATGGAAAAAAAATTGCATTTCTTTTCAGAAAAAATCTGATTTTGTGCAAAATAAGTATGTTAAAACAATAATGCTATATATGAATCTAATATATATTATAAATCATGCTTTCAAGACATGAAAAATGCAAGTTGGATTTCATCAATCGGCCGAGCAGAGCGGGAAATATAGAATTGTCTCTCTCTTCCCCCCTTCTTTTTTTGACTGAGTATACACAAAAAGGCAATGAGGAATGAAGTTGTCAATAAAATAGCTTGTCAGAAAATGCAAAAAAAGCACAAGTAGAGAAGCTGCTGTATGAAAAAAAAAAAAAAAAAAATTAAAAAGCAAATTTCATGACATTGTTGCTTGCTTGAAGCAAAATTCCTAAGTAAATTCCTCAATGTTTCTAATATTTTAATGTATTTGGACAGTTTTATTATGTTGTAATTGTTATCATGTTCTATTTAAAATTATTAATTTCTTCGCGTATTAGTTTCTTAATGTAATTTAATTATATTTATTTTTTGGTTAATAATTACTTTTTATTAATAAATATATCTGCAAGTGGGATTATAAATGATGATAAATATGAATGAAAATTTGAAATATACTTAATTCCTTAATTAGTAAGTAAATTCCTTAGTGCAATAATTTTTTAAGGAAAATGTGCATTAAATTTCACATTATTGACTAGCACGTTAAAGTAATTAAAATGTGAACTAGAGTATTAATTATTTTAAGCAAATACAGAGACTGTTCCCACATTTTTTAGATGATGTATATTGTATTCACAAAACTAAATTACATAAAATTGTGTTTTAAATTTTCTATTTGACATCCCTTATTCTGAACTATCTTTCGACACCGCAATTTCCAGGATAATAAGGCCTTTTGAAGTGGCAAAAGAAGTATTGTATCCCATTCCTCCCGAACAGCTTTCCAGAGTCCTGTTAGGGTTTTGGGACAACGTTTGGATAGTGCAGTTTTTAAAAGTCTGAAAGCACAAAAATCCATAGGTGACACATCGGGAGATTTAGTAGGGATATCAGTGAAGGGTATGGCTTTGATACCAGTTTTTTTGTTCCATTTCTTTTAGGAAATTTACAGTGGATTTTGATGTGTGACTGCTAGCTTTGTCCTGATGGAGTCTCGCAGATTGATGGCACTGTGGGTAAAGTGATGGTATTTCATTCAGAAAAATTGGCGATAAAATATGTTCCTGATAGTATTTGGAGTTAATCTTGACATTTTTTTGCACTCTCTTTATTTTTAACTTGCCATTATAAGAAAAACCAGCAACAATCATGAATCCCTTAGAAAAACTTTCTTTCGATTCTTTGAACCATGTACTTAAATTTTTTTCTCCCCTTTTATGATAATAAATGGCTCTTTTTTTTTTTTTTTTTTTTTTTTTTTTTGTTGCAATCATTTAAATACACCCATGCTTCATCTCTTGTGACAATTGTTTTCCATTTTTCTTTGGATAACTGTTTCTCATATAGAATTCTGCAGCGTGTCTTGCGTTGAGCGATATGCTTTGGAAGAAGACGATGCACATTGCGTTTTTTTGCTTTCTTAAGATTTAAATCAATGTTTATCATTATGTTTACAATGGACACCAAGCATTTTAATGATTCTGCAACCTGTCCTTTGACTAGGGGGATTTTCTTTTAACATTAAACAACGTACCTTTGCAATAGTCGCGAAGATGTCCGTTTTTTCCTTGGATACTTGTTTGGAATTTTTGTCCCACTTGAAGCTCCAATTTGACGTTTTTTTTTTTTTTTTTCCCTTTCTTGTTGATGATATTACCTATTGACGCTTTAGATATCACAAAACCATGACTCTCACATCGTTTTTGGATAACGAAGTATGCATATTTCTCTTCGGAAAGAACGTAAATGTAGCCTTCGAACCACTGCTTTGTTAAATTCGCCATTTTGAATAAAAACAAAACTTTCAAGCCACAGACGATAATTTTGACTTTTAAAAACATAGTACAATTGCAATTACTTCTTTTGCAGCAAACGATTTTTTATTACCGCTTACCAAAATCATCTAAAAAATGTGCGAACAGCCTCTGTATACACATACATCAGTTGGTGGTATTAACAACAAGATGTGTCTGAGAACTTAAGAAGACTAGAATGTAAAAATATATGTAATTCTTATTTAGTTTTACTAAAGTGTGGACTGAAATATTAGATTATGATTAATTGAACAAATAAAAATAAAATAAAATGAATTGTGGAAAAAAATTATTTACTGTTAAGTAAGTAAGCAGATATTAAGCTTTTCTTCAATTCATGGAATTTCCCTGAGATGCTAGATTTTATATAATTAGATTTTAAGACGTATGGGTTCCAACTATAATTAGATTTCCGTAAGGTGTTACCTATGAATGTTACCTATGTGTACAGTGAATTATCACCACCAGAGTACCTAAGCATCAAACAGACTGACATAAAATATTTCATGCTTATTCTACTATCCAATCTGGACCTAGTTTTTGAATTTATTTCCTTTGTGGGGAAAAAAATTATCTTTTATTTTGCAAAGGAAATAAATTCAACAAATAAAATCTAATCTAGGCAGAGGCTCAAGATGCCCTAGACCATGACAGAATTTTGAACACACTTATGAAGCAGAATGTAACCTCAGTTTAAAAAAATCCGAGTAAGAACAATCTTTTCTTCTGTCAGCAAGGCAGGTCAAAACTCTCACACTGCTATTTGTAAAGTTCTACACTTTATTGTAAAACTGCTTGTCACTCATCTATAAATTTTGAAGTGAGTGAATATTCTGGTAAAAAGAGGCAGAAAGGAAAGAATTAAATAACATTTCATTAGTAAAACTTAAATGCTACAAGATGATTTATATTTTTTATTTAGTGACTGTCAATGTTTTGTTATTATTTGCCTTTTTTTAAAGTTTAGTTTAGTTTTATGCTTCTAAAAATGAAAATCAGTGGAAGTTTAATTAAGGTGTTCTATTTTTGTCAGCTTTAGCAAAGTGGAAAAATTCAGTGTTTAAATGTTAATGAAAGGATCAAATGAAAAGACTCAATGTATTTTATAAATAAATGGAATGGTCTGCTTTCTTACAAACATAAATTTAATACTGAAGAAGGGAGGTTGTGTCATTTATCATTTGAAGTACACTAAATGTTGCTTTTGATGTAAAAGCCAAACAGAATTTTAATTTTGCTAATAATAAAAGTTCTTATAAATGGCAAAAAGGGAAAAAATACAATGCATAAGAAAAATTTTGTAAAATATCTTTTGAATAACCATTGTTTCATAATTTTAAGTATTTCTTGTTGATGTTTGTTTCCAATATAAAATGTTGGCTATAATCGTTTCATGTCTATAGATAGAAAGACTAGAACATCAACATAAACAAGCCAAGAAAACTATTACTGCTCAGACAGACCAAATAACTCTCCTCAGAAAGCAGAATGAAAGTCTTTCAAAGGAGCTTGAAGAAAAGGTCAAGAAGTTAAATGAATTAGAGGTTTGTATTTTTTTATCAATGATAATTCATATTTTTCGTTTAAATATTTATTTTCTCATTTGATGTAATCAAAGTCATGTTTCTAAATGCCAGATTTATAAGATATTAGTCAAATGTGGTAAAATTTAAAATTTCTTTTTCATTGACTACTTTTATATTGAGAATAACGTTTTTGAAATGTAAGGAAAGTAATTTTTATCATTACAGCTCCTATTATTTAAATGGCGCTAAAATAAGTGATAAATCACTAACATGTATAACAAATTGTCATGAAATGGACTTTGAGTATGCCACATTATTATTGTATTTCTGTCATGTTTTTCCTTTTTTCCAAAAATATTGACAAATTTTGATTTACTAAGGAGTAAACAAGTTGCTATAAAATTCTTCCAAGAAAGAGGCATTTTACCTTACATTCAAATATGCAAAAATGGCCATGAACTGAAACTATATATTAAATAAAAGCATTTGGAGGTGTAACAAGAAAAGCTGCAAGCCAAAGAAAAGCAAATGCTTTAACAACTGGTTCAATGGTTTCAAAGTACCTTATCGGATAGTACTGATTTGTATTTTTTGTTGGGCAGAGGAACTAACATGAATGTTTTTAAATGAGTAGTAAACATGTTTGGCATGATGCAGCTTTGAAATTATTCCTTGTTTCTAATTTCAATATTATATTAATGAACAAGAGCAAAATGCTTTGAGAATTTATAATCTTAAGTATCCAGATGCTCTAAATTTTTAGAAGCTGTGTACAAGGAAATGAATCATGGTTAATTTTAAAAGCAGCTGGAAATATTTAATAATTTTAATAATAATCTTTACACACTTATATAATAAATATAATATTGGAGTTAATGTTTAGAGACTACAGTCAAAAGTCGTTAATTCGGACACCCATAATCCAGAATGATCTATAATCCGGACCTCAAAGCTACAAACTTTCTGCGCATGCGTCGCGTTCACGCATGAGCACAGACGTTTACGAGAGCGTGTAAGACCCTTACGGCTGCGAATATGTTTGTGCGCATGCGCGTTTAATGTGTAACGGAGTTATACGCTAAGCTAAAGTTATCTAATTCAGTTAAATGTTGCAGATTGCGTTGTTCCTTAATCTTCAAAATGGATCCGGCTTATTATTTTTTGCAGACTGTTAGAGCAATTTTATAAAAGTAAACTTGAACTTTTGATTATGTCAAATAGAATTTCCGATATATATTTACTACAAAGCGAAAGTATGTTTTGAAATCCGAAATCTGTTTATCAATTTCACGCTGCTCTGCGGCAGAGGGGCAGAAACGTCATTATTAGATTATGATAGATTAGAAAGATTATGTCAAATAGAATTTTGATATATATTTACTAATATGTAATTTGTATCTACAAAGCGAAAGTATGTTTTGAAATCCGAAATCTGTTTATCAATTTCACGTGGGGGATTGGAAGTTGATCTGTCAGCACTATCCTTATCTTCAGGGCAGATGTTTTTTATTTTATTTGGTTTATAATTCCGTACTAAGTGTAGTATTTCATTTTGATGTACTCCGTCTTTGATATGATTTAAATCAAGTTCCTCGTCCTTATAATTCGCTTCCGATAGTGAAGAAAGTGACCCAGAGGTTATTGAAAACGAAAACATTTCGATTAACAAATTAGTCGGTATTCTCAACACAGCAATTATAGGACTTGAACAGCAGAACTTTGTAACTAAACAAGAAATTATGTTTAAAAGAATTAAAGAGAAAAGTATTATCACATGAAACGAAGCAACTTACATTGAAAGAAATGTTTAATAAAGTAAACAAATAAATATTAAGCTTTTTCTTTTTTGTAAATTTTGATACCCTTTAGATCATAATTGTTCTTTATTTCATAAATTACGGTTTCATATTTTTAATTTTGTAATTTCTGCATGCCATCTTACCAGATTTAAACTGATGATCTATAATCCGGAAAGATCGATAATCTGGAATCGCCGAAGTCCCGACGAGTCTGGATTAACGACTTTTGACTGTATTATACAACTGTTATTAGCCCAAAGCCCAGAAGGGCTGTTAGTCTCGAAATGACCTTTTGCGTTGATTTATTAAAAGCGTTGAATCACTTTTCAAATTATTACCACCAAATATTATCATCCTGTATTATATTTAAAGAAATTAAATAATGCAGAATCTGCATGAGTGTGTGCATTGTGAAAAAACTACAGTGCCTAGAGCAACAAATTTTGAATAACGTAGTAGTGCTTTCGAATATGGGCACCAGGAACCCTGAATCTTGAATTTTGAATTTGTTTTATTATCTTTTTCATATTTTTTAAACTTTAATGACTTTTTAATTAAGAAATTCAATTATTTCAAAGCAAGCAGTGGCAACACGCTGTGCAGAATAAAGCATTTTTATCTCTATCACGTGAGACTGTCTATCAGAAATTCTAAAGATATGCTATTTAAAAATATTTTTAGTCCAAATGCTTTGAAAGCACCTCTCGAAACATGTATATGTGTGTAAATGAAAAAATGCCCCTTTGGGCATAATAGAAAATCTGAAAGCTTTCAGATTTTATTATTATTATTTTGGTTTAATTTTTTTTGAAGTTATAACAAAGTTAAATTAATAATTATATTGAGTATCGCAAGACTATGATATGAAGACATACATAAAGTGATGTTCACAAAATAGCATTATTTAATAGACTGGAGGCAAGACTGCTATCATTTTGTAGTAAAACACAGTATCTGCCAACTCTGATAAAACAAGGTGCCTCTGTGTATTATTTTAACTCTTAAGTGTTTATAAGATGATCTGAGGCATTTTATACAGCTAATTCTAACCAAATCAAAAATAAATTATCAAGGTGTTTGATAATTAACCATGTTGAATATTGCTGCTGCTTTGTCGTTATTTAACCCTTTGATGCATGCGATATTATTTTTATAATTTTTTTAACTAAAAACTCTAGAAATTAAATATTATGATCCTAGAGACTGATAATATATGAATTAAAGAAATCTACTCTTGCCCATTGTTTTGTGGGTGGTGGCCGCACTGTGAAACCACAGCACGTCTAGGACTTTTAAAACTTACCTAGGCAGTAGGGGAAAAAAAACTTACCTTTCTCCGTGCGTGTTTACAATAAATTACAAAATTTACGAATATAAAAAAAAATGCATTTAAGAATTGCATAATATATATATTTTTTACATTATTTTACAAACTAAATCATCAGAAAAAATTAAAAAATAAACATTTATGTAATTTTTCTATAGCAGTGAAAGTATAAGTATCTACATAATAAGGACGTTTGGCTACATGGATTAAAAAACTCAGTAAAATAAGTATAAACAAAAGACTCAGTGTTTTTTTTTTTTAAATTTCAAAGAACAAATATTTTTTGTGACTGTTCAAAACATGTTTTGTCTTTATGGTACATGCATAGACCCACATTGCACGTTTCACACATGTATCTTCATCTATGATGTTTCTTCCTTGTGCTACAAAATGTACACTGATTGGATCTAAATTTCACTGGTATATGTCCAGCGTTGTTTAGTTTCTTTTCATCTGGAACGTGAAACTTGTGTTTTTTTTTTAATGTTAATGGGGGGGGGCTTGGTCTTTTTGGCTTTGGTATGGATCATTCATTTCCCATTCATACTTATTATATTCATATTTCATCTCGGTACTCTTCCGTTTCGCCGGCGCAAATCTCGCCAAGCAGACTTTATTGGCGACAACATAGAGTATACACATAAAAAATATTTAAAAAAATGTTAGTTCTAAGAATTCTTTTAAAAAAAGAAGGCATAAACATCTTAATATCGCTTAAAATTTTATAAAAAGCCAATAAATAAAGACAATAAATTTTTAAAAAGACATTAAGAATTTACTATGCTTTCATGGTTCAACATCCTGATTCGCCGGTTCATATCACGTGACCCCAAGCGATCTCATCTCACGTAAACTCTACAAAAATCTTATGCTCTCAGTAATTATCTACATTAATTTCATGTTAAATCTTAATTTGGAACACATGTTTAAATGCAAGAAATATTTCAATTCGTACGAATAGCTTACTCAGAAATTATGCAAAACTGTAGTGCTTTACTTCGCTAATGCATTCTCATTAGAATGGATGAATTTAACCCTTGACTTTACCTTTTCTTCTATATTTTCGGCTTCAGGTAAGCGCTGTGATTGCATCCTAATTGTCTTAATTACTGAAAAAGGCATTAGATATAAAACTGAACTATCTGATAAAAATTCTATGTAATTATATGCCAGTATTAAAAAAAACAATCAATCTGATAAGAAAAAGCTGCGACTTGTTTTGAAAATGAGGCGTAAAAGGTTACCAGCGAGAATATTCCGTTTGGCATCGGTTGTACCATTATTGGCGACTTTATCGCTTGCACCGGCAAAATGGAAAAGTACCTTCATCTCTAAATATTCAAAAAACATTTTTAATTTAAATAAAACTTTATGCGATTTCTATTTTTATTTACAGCAAAGTATGTTTACATTAAATTTAAACCACAAGGAATAATTTATAAAAACACAATACTAGCTTGGGGAGCAAGTGTGTTGAGGTCAGAGAAAAGTCTCTGGTAAAGAAAGACCTTTTACTGGGCAGGTGCGTGTATTGTTTAGTAATAAAATAACTCTGTGATTTCAAAACCCCTTATCTATATCCGGGTAAAAATAAACATTCCTATTTGAGAAGCAAGCAAACGCCATTGTGAAGAGCAGTGGTTTCAAGGCGCAACCACCGAACCTCTAGAGCGACCACCGAACCTCTAGTGGGGCAGTGGTCGCACCCTGAAACCACTCTATATGTATGGTATTTGCCCTGAAGCAAATGCCATACATATAGAGGGTTTTTTTATATATGCAGTTTAATTATTGCTATTTTTTATTGTTTATGATAGAAATCATTATGTGCGATGAATAACTTTTGAAATTTAATGTTGTTTATATTAATAAAATATTGTTTATATTAATAAAAGTTATTTTGTCTCATTGAAAACAAATTTTAAAAGGCATCCGATTTGAAGTACTAAGACCTAAAACATGTATGATTCTGTAAAAATAAGGATGAAACAATGTCATTTTGTGTTATTTAGAGATAACAGATCAGTAATCAATTGATCTCAAAAATTTCGTAAGGAAGAGGAGAAAAAAATTCGAAAATTGGTGGTTTCAAGGCGCGACCACCGCGCGTCAAAGGGTTAAAAACTGTAACATTTTAAAAAATATCTTATTTTAGAATTGAAGGCTTTGTGACTTCAGCATAAATGTCCATTCATGCTAGTATAACAGGTTTTAAACCATAGCCATTCAGTAAAGTTGCCCATGTGTGAATGTGCAGCTGATTCATTGAAACTGTTGACTGAATGTCAGTTTGTGCTTGCTTCACTGTGATTGGTTGGCTTTTATACCAAATTGGCACAAAGTGAAAATGTTAGAATATTTTGACAAAATCCTGGAATCAATTTTTATGACATAGGTCTGATTGGCTAACAGTGAAGCTTGACTTAACTCCTGCGTACTCAGCCTTCACCTGAATGGAACTTTTAAGTTCTTTGTTTGTATATTTTGTTTTGAAAATGCACCTAAAATGAAGTTGCTAAAAAATGAACTGTGGTACCCAAGGACCCGGGTTCGAATCCCGGAGAAGACATGGATGTATATAAAATGTATAGTGTCGGTGTGGCATGGCGGCATACTAAATATAGGGTGAGCTAAAAGTCCTTTCGTGTGGATTGTTGAGAGTGGAGAGAAGTGGACCCCCCTTGGGGTGCTCTCCCTCAATTGGGGTGGAAAAATAGAAGTCCAACCTCTCTTCGGAGTAGGCTCTGGCAACCATTGTTCCATGTAATATGGACACAGCAACAACAACAGCAATACATGTATAACAAAATGTTCTTTAGATGTGTTATTAAATACCTAAAAGTGCTATATTCTGGCTGTTATATTCTGATATTTATTTTTTTACGTTCATTTAGGATGAACAACTAAAAATGAAATCAGAACATGAATTCATTTTAAAAAATATGCAGATTCGTTTAGAAGAATTAGAAAAGCAGCAAGAAGAAAGTATAATGTCAATGGCTGAAACGAAAAAAAACATGCATGAAGAGTTAGAATTGAAAGAAAAGCAGCTTATTAAAGCAGAAGAAGAAGCTCGACAGTATCAAGCTGCAGGTACAGTTAGTTATTTATGCTATTTTCATTTAACTCCTTATGTACCTTAATTTGTGTAGGTGAATTTTGATTCGTATTAATTTTATTTGCTAGTTTCTGTCTAATGTTACGTAGCTTATGCATTTACTTCGAAAATCACTCAACACACATTTAAAAAAAAGTTACCATCTGCTATGTTAAACTGAATGAGCATACTGTACTAAGGAAAGTAAAACAACTTTATAAATGCTAATTACCAATAATGAACTAGTAATTACTAATAATGTACTAATAATGAACATGCTGCTTTAACCAAACCCAGTGTCTAAGTGAGTATTTCGTTTGATTACAATAGGTGGTGCTGTATTCTAACTTAACATGCTGTTGCTGATTGAAATTCCAAATTTCAGTAGATAAACATGTAATATGACAATTTTAAAAATAACTAATTCTACATTCCAAATATGAAAGCCAATAGGTAATTTTCTATTGGGAAATGCAGTATAAAATAATGTAAAAGTATAATCTTGAAATAATATGTAAAATAATATAAACATTATAAAGAACATAAACTAATTCAATATGCTACAATCTTACTTGCTGTTTTAAAGCAGTTTCAGTGTAAAGAACAATTTTCAGTAAGAACACAATGATATAATGCTAAGCATTGTTATATTTAGACAATAAACAATTTTTGCTACTGCATTGAATATGTGCACCATTTGATTAAAAATTCTTGTTTTATTATCTTTGCAAGGTGAAATTCTGCAATTCTAGTTAAAGACCGTGGAACCTTAAAAGACCAAGTTAAATGGGAAAAGATTATCTATTCTATGACATTTTCCACGTCTAGCAATGAATCTTTTAATAAGGCATCTGTGGTTGAATCAGTTACTATCTCTAAACGTATTGTGTTAGTAGTTAAACATATAAATATAGCAATATACACCTTTGTATAATTATCCTTTTTCTGATTCTTATACTTCATGAAGAATGGACCAGAAAAATCAAATAAACAAATAATTAAAATCAAACCATGGGTTAATTCTTTCACCTGGTAAATTTTCCATAAGTGTTAACATACAACTGATTTAACCCTAAAACATAACACATTCATTTTCAAGCTATATCTCGACCATTAATAACTCCCAAATTTGCTGTAAGCCTTATACAATAAAGCTTGTGCACCAAGATGCAGTTATTTGCAATGATAATACTGAAAAATTGATGCAATAACTACATGCTGTTTTGGTATTATATAAGGAAACTTTTTATCATGATTAAGATTGCTATTGTTAAGTCTGCGTAAGCCCTTCGCGATGGCATGTTGCTGAACTAAAACCCTCTGCAGATGGCTGTGTCATATATGCATCAGTCCCAAATGTCACTAGCAGCCAGGTGATGCACTGGTGCATCGCACACTGCTTTGCCCTGGTGCAACACAGTGTCTCCAAGGTGAGTTGCGCTAAGCGGCATGCTGTCTCATAACAAGATTAGCTGCTGATGCATATATGATACACTCGTCCTGAAGGCCCTTATGATTTGATCAACAGTATCTATTGCATATCTTATCCCCTTCAATGATTCTAAAGTTAAATTAAATAAATCCATTATTGACTTCATATACATCTCAATTAAGAGTATTTTATTTTCATACTTGAAGAGCTTTACCTAGAAAACTGAAAGTATCATCAAAAGTTTCAAGATTTTAGCTTCATCAATTAATGCAGCCTGTAAATAATAGAGCTTCTGAACTTCTGTTAACTCAGTATTGTAACTTAAAATTATTCCATTTGGTATATCTACTAGAAAATGTAGAAATCAGTAATTATGGCAAACATATTTATACTTTAGAATCAAATTTACTCCAATCACTTCCGTATTCAGAATGTACAACAGATGATAGAATTTCCTTAATTCTTACCTCTAAAATTTCCATTCTTTCTTCCATTTTGGCAATTTGTTTATTGATGACTGTGACATCATCCATTTCATCAGCACTTTCAAAACATCTATTAGATGTTTTGAATTGATCTGGCTTTTATTTGAAATTTGTTTTGTTTACACTGTCATCATGTCACCTATTTGAATATTTTGAAGTGATCTGGCTTTTTTTATTTGAAATTCATTTTGTTTACACTATCATCGTGTTGCCTAAGCATGTTTTTTTAATCTAGTTAGTTTAAATTTAATGCTGTTTTATTCTAATCTAATGTGACCATCTCTGGCTTAAAGCCATACATATTGCAATGCTAAACTGAATTCTGCAATTCTAAACTAAATGAGTGAACTGTACTAAGAAAAGTAACACAACTTTATTAATGCTAATTACTAATAACAAACTATTAACATGCATGTTGCCATAACCAAATTCAAAAATTTAATAACAAACTATTAACTGGCATGTTGCCATAACCAAATTCAGTGGCTGAGTGAATGTTTTGTGTAACACCATCTTTGAGGTTTCCAGTGTCCTTGAAAAATGTCAGTTCTGGTGTAACTTTAAATTTTACGCTGAAACTGAAACTTTCTTGCATTTATTTTCTCATTTCCTGATACATATGAAGTTTTGTAGGAGACTATAATTTGTTGTTTTGGTACTTACGTATTATCGCAACCAGGTTGGCGCAATTTGCAAGTTTGAGTAAAAAAGTATGAATAGAAAGAAAATGTACATTTATTAATTACAGATAATTTTTAATACAGTTTTTTATATTTTGTTTTAAAATATAAAATAGCAATTAAACTCTTCCGGTTTCGAATTTGAATAAGTTGCAGAATTATTTTTTCGGCGGAAATCTTTTCGCTATTGCTTTTAGCACTGATTGAAAACCGTATTTGCCATAACCATGTACACGTCGACTTATTTTTACTTAAAAAAAATCCGAGAATTGCACAAAAATGGCATTGCGCACACTCTATCCATGTACACTGCTATTTTCTCATAAATTACAAAAATTTGCATGAAAATGCAGGAAAATTTTGTGAATCTCCACATGCAAAATAGCAGTGTACATGGATAAAGTCAAGAGTGTGCGCAATGCCATTTTTGTGCAATTCTGGGATTTTTTTTTAAGTAAAAATAAGTCGACGTGTACATGGTTATGGCAAATACGGTTTTCAATCAGTGCTAAAAGGAATAGCAAAAAGATTTCCGTCGAAAAAATAATCCTGCACTTACTCCAATTCAAAACCAGAAGGGTTTAATTGCTAATAAATTACAAAAATTTGCAGGAAAATGCAGGAAAATTTTGTGAATCTCCACATGCTCTTTTTACAAAACTACGTATAACACGTAGGGTTGCCAAATTTGGCAATTTATGCGAATTTTGGCCTGGTTGCGTTAATACGTAAGTACCATTGTTTTCCCACTGAATGGCACGGAAACGTAATGACCCCCTCTTTATTTTTTCTGATGATCTGTTGCAGGTAACAATGGCAGGTTATTGTTGCATGGTTCCTTCTGTTCTTAATGTAACTAAAACTTCAAAAATTCTCTGATTTTATTATATAGAACTGAAATAATAATATTTTACATTTACAATAGAACTTCTCCTTTTTGTAATTATATGATGTGTAATGTATTGAATGCTCTGTCAGTAAATTATTAAAAAAATGTTTTGTTTTTTAATTAAAGTAATTCCTTATTGATAATTCATTCCAAAGTCACTAGTTTTGAAATTTTGGGGTGAAAGATATGTTTAAATCTTTTTAATTTACTTTTTCTATACCATTTTAAACCATAATGCTCTCATTTGGGATCATACACTTGACTATATGCAGTATAAAGTCTGAAATCTGGATGACCGATATTTAGAATGATTTAATATCCAGACCCTCAGAACGCTAGCTGAAAAATAAATAAAATAATAAAAAAATATCCCCAAAGTCTAGGAATGAAGAATATAATAACAAGAAGAAATATGTTTCCAATAAATGCATTTTTTTCTTCGAACTGACTGAGATACTTGCATGTTATTTTCAGACACCGGCTGGGAAGTTGCATCATGGCCAATAACAGTGCACTGATTGATGTTCAATTAATGCTGATCGGATCACACATAAGTAGTTGGAGGGCAGGGCCAGCATTACACATTTTACCGCCCTGTGAAGTTTCTCTGCAAGCCCTGAATTCTGCTACCTAGTATCTCCCTAAGTTCTAAAAATTTTGTCACCTCTAAATTGTACTGTCCAGTGTGTCTTCTAAACTTTAAAAATTCTGCCATCCAAGAATTTTTCTGCTTGATTTGCCTCTAAATTCTAAAATTTTTCCCATCCTTAAGTTATGATATCCAGTGTGGCTGCACTAGTTGCATGTTCTGGTGTCAGCCCTGTAGACAGGAGATTATTCTGTCTGACATAAACAATAACCGTAGCCCCAGGAGTGCCATGTCTATGTATCATATTACTAGATTTAAATGGTGATCAAGTGTCCAGAATTCCAGATCTGAGATTTTGTACTGTATTGAAAATTTATATTCTTGTTTATGTGGGTTTTTTATTTCATAGATTTTGGTTTTTATTATTTTTCTTAAACTCTATATATGCTAGCATACAAAACTTAAGCAAAAAATTCATTTTTTAACATTCAACCAGGAAATTATTGAAAGAGCTTTTAATAATCAGTTCAGTGAGAAGTTAACTCAAAGTTAATGCATATATGAATATCAATACCATAGTGTTAGAGGGTATGTCAGAGCATGCAAAACCCTGCAAAACCCAATGTGCACACAGTGCAAGACAACGTAAATAGAAGAAGCTGCATGTCCAGGCATTCCTCTACAAGTGAAAGTGAGATTGTACAAAAGCAGGATATTATAACTACAGTACAGCTAAAAGAAAATGTCAGTATGCTTTTATATGTGTTAGAATAATTGGCAAACTTGAAAAGGAGCGTAGTTTGACGTTGATGAAAGGGTTGATTCAGAATTCAGAAAGCCTACCAAACGACAGGTGCAGCTGTAAGAAAGGTTGGTTGTGGGCAGTGCAAGGTAATTTAAGAAAAAGAAATGAAGCCACATTTCCAGGCAGTCCTCTGCAAGTAAAAGTGAAATTTTAAATGCAGTATGATTATAAGAAAACACCAGGACCCCCTTACTTGTGGTAGAGTAATTGGCAAGCTTTGAGGAGGGTTTAATACGATGTCTGTCATGCACTTGATGAAAGGGTTGTTTTACAAGTTCAGAAAGCCTAGACAACAGATGCAGCTGTAAGGAAGGTTGTTTGTGGTCGACCAATGAAAGCAGTAGTGACTGATATATTGTCCTGTAGGTGAAAAGAGATAGAAACCAATCAGTGAGCAACATTACTCAGCAATTGCACACAGGTGGGTGAAATGTTCCTGGTTTAATGTGGGGTCATACAACTTCATAAAGTAGCCCTATTTACCCATCGTCCTGAATGCTACTTATCATTTACAGAATATCCTGAACACTGCATACCAGTTCATCCCCAGTTTTTTTGCAGTGGTGTAGAGAACACAAAAACTGGACACTTTGTCAGTGGAGTCGCATCCTTTTTACTGATGAGAGTCATTTCAACCATAAAAACGATTTTCAACTGGTAAAGAAATAGGCATACACTTTCATCTCACTAACATTGAGGAAATAGACTGTTGGAGTATTATGAGGAGGCATTATGAAGAACAGATAAATGAAGCTCCACATTTTTGATAGAGGGTCAGTTTTCAGATATAGTTACTGTGGTGAAATTATCCTCTACTATTTCATTTTTTCTGGCGGGCCATTTGACCTGATTTTGTTTTTATGCATGACAGTGCACGGCCACACAGGAGTCATGCTCCTGAGGAGCTCCTGGAAAGTGAAGATATCCACAGAATGGATTGGCCAGCATGCTGCCCTGATATAAATCCCATTGAACATGTGTGGGATACTTTATGGAGATGCCTGGCAGCATGCAGAGAACATCTTACCACCCAGAGAACTAGACAACTGAAATAGATGCTCCTTGAAGAATGGGAACTATTACCCTCAAAACTGTTATAAAATCTTCACTGATAGATGGTGCAACCTAACCATTGCAATGAGGGGAGATCATTTCCTTTAATAACGCTGTTTGGTTTGTTGTTCTTCCTCTTAGCCAAACAATTTTTTGTTCTAAGGCTGTACCAGACAGTTTTTTGTAAAGTCAATAAATAAAGCCTTTTATATTCATTCTGTACTGTATGTGTCCTGTTTATTTCTTTGCTACTATACTTTTCTCATCTTTTAATAGTACATTTTGCTGTAGCATGAATTTTATGTCTCCAGTTGATTTTTTGCAGAATTATGTCCAAAGTCAGAAAAATTGCTTGAGTTTTGCACACTAGTGTATATATAATATAAAGAAATGAAGTATGTTTTATGTGGGATATGAAATAAAAATATTTTTTATAGCTGAACTAGAAAAAGCAAAGATTTCAGAATTGCAAAAGCAGCATGAAGAAAAGATTAATGAACTTCAGCATCAGCTAGAATCTACAGAAAAGGCTTTGGAAGAGGAAAAGCAGAATTTAATGCAAGAACTTAATAGAGGGAAGACAGCTGCTATAACTCTAATGAAGGTAACTAGGTAAATCTGATGCTTTATTATTTGATCATTTAAAATATAAGGCATGTTTAAACTAGTTTTCTTTTTAATACTTCTGAAATATTTCCGAGTACATTCTAAAAACGTTATATATTAACAATGTGCACATAAACAAATAAGCAAAACATTATTAGTTTGCCTAATATAGAAAGGTAGGGAGAACTCTTTAAAATTTTTAAAATTTGTAATTGCTGGTGTTTATTTATTGTGAATTAATAAATCTCATATACTTAACCTACAGAACATCATAGCTTAGCCTCTTGCAAGAGCTCTTGGAGCCTATGCAAAAATTAATGTAAAGTATGTTTTGTTATTGAAGTTTTGAGTACCTCTGCACTCTGTTGGACATTGTATTGAAAATGAAAAAGAGTGTTGTTTGGTTGATATTATGAATAATTTAACAGCTGAAAGCACCTGGACCATAAGCATGTTTGAAGCTTTAAACTTATTTCATGATATGGTTCTGATTTTATGATATGATATGCTGCAGCAAACCAAATCAATATTCTCTTCTGAAGACTTTGAAATACCTGGTAGACCTTATTTAACCATGGACACAAAGGCTGTGTTTTTTGTCAAGGTCCAATTGGTTGTGAAATAAAAACTCCTATGAATATACGATGGCACTGTGTGAAGATATGTTGCACAATGTGTCTACTATGCTCGTTGATTGCATCAGGCCTCAGTTGTCAGTTGTGAGCACACAGTGAGCAAGTAAATATGCCTCAAACAGTAGTCTCTCCCACCAAGTGTGAACTGCATGCTGTGATTTGATTTCTGCATGCTAAGGAGTGCAGTGCAGCAGAAATTCATCGATGAATAGGCGTGGAAAAACTTTCATGTGGTAATGGTGCATGAACTTTGATGCAGAACTTACAGATTTTATGATGCAGGCATACAGAGAAGGAAGCAAGTGTCAAATGATTATCTTGTATAGCAAGTGGATCAAGTGATTCAAGGAAATTGTGAGTTCACATTTTCTCTGTTGAGTGATTTGTTTCTCATTTTAACAGCCAGCTCAGGTACAAAGGTACCTGAGTGAGAGACTGCAGGATCACAAAATCTGTGTGAGATGTATTCTGAAGATGCTATCTGACCAACACACAGCAGATGAGTGCCGCCTCAATGTTTCTCCATGATAAAAAAAAAAAATAGAATTGTTGCAGGGAACGAGACATGGGTCCATTTCGAAACTGAAGAAACAAAAGAGCAATCCAAAGAGTGAATGCATGCTCATTCCCCAAGTAAATGAAAGAAGTTGAATTAAACATTTCTTCAGCAGAAAGTGTATGACTGCTGTGCTCTGGGACTGAAAAGGTGTTCTCTTGGTGAAATTCATGGAATGTGGCATAACTTTCACTGCAGCAGGACAATCCAGAGCAAGTGCAGAGGAATGTTATCATATAGCATTGTCCTCCTTCATGGCCATGCACAGCTGCAACAAAGATGCTTCTGCAGCATTTTAACTGGGACATGTTGGATCCCCCACCATATAGCCTCTACTTAGCTCCCTCTAATTACCATCTCTTTGTTCAGATGAAATGTTGGCAATGGGGCTAGAAGTTTGCCTCAGACAATGAGTTGCAGACCAGTGTAAAGAAGTGGATGAAAGCACAGGGAGCTGCGTTCTGTGACGAGAGTATTAGAAAGTTGTACCACGCTATGACAAATGTCTCGGTTGGAATGTGACTTTATAGAGAAGTAGCTGGAAGGTGTATCTAAATATTCCAAGTAAAATAGTTTTGATTTTCACTGGGGTTTTCATTTAACAACCGATCGGACCTCGAAAAAATAATAGTCCTCATACATGTTAATTTTTGGCATGGTATTCTTCAGGAAGGTATGAAACTCTAGCCATTATCAAACCTTTACAAGCAAGTCCATGTTCTGTATGCCTGTCAGTTTTGATCTGTGCAATAACTCGTATTAAAATCATGAGCTGTATATTCCTAAATCCACTGAAAAAAATGCAAAGTCATTAAAATTCTTACCATGGTAAATTTTCGTAGTGTGTGTAGAGAAAAAGCTCTGCATTTTTCAGTCTTTTGGTTAAAGGTGTTATTTGAACATGGGATAGAAAGAGAAAAACTTAATATTTAAGCTGATGTTTGAAACATTCTAAGATATATAAAATTTTGTTCCTCTCCATGTTGTTTTCTGTGCTAGGGATAAAGTTAAGACTAAACATAGCATGGGACTACTTACTATAACTTTTATGTTTAGCTGATGTATTTACGAGAGGTTTAATCATATGCCTGCAAACAGCCTATTGGTCTCCATATTATTTTGTGGTAGAAACTGTACATAATGCAGCAAGCAAGAGTCATATTTGAGTAAAATAGTTGAAGGTAATGTTACTTATCAGGTCTTTTAAGGTGTGCCATTAGTCCTGACTTTCTTTTTATGGATGATAGTGTACACTATACAGAACTCATGCTGCTGAGGAGCTCCTGAAAAGCAAATACATTCACAAAATAGATTGGCCAGGGTATTTCTCTGATAAATATTCCATTGAACACACTTGGAGTGCTTAACAGTATGGTATTATCCTCCAGAGAACGCCAGACAACTGAAACAGGTGTTCCTTGAAGAATAGGAACTATTACCCCAAGAATTGTTGAGATAATCTGGTGTTTGAGTATCAATAGATGGTGCAATGCAACCATTGCAGTTAGGGAAGATCCCCTTATTAAGACTCTGATTTGTTGTTCATCCTCCTGGCCAGAAACTTTGTACCAACCCCATTTTCTCTATAAAGCCTTTTTCTATTCATTCTGTATTGTATTCATTTTTTATTCAATACGTCCCTCATCCTGTAAGTAATTCATTGTGCCTCTGTAATACAAATTAAAGTTGATTTTTTGTAGAATTTTGGCCCAAATCACAAAAATTTCTTTTGCACACTAGTGTATATTTAAATAATTATAATATTTATCAAGGCTCTTTTTCTAAACTTAAAAATATGTTTCTGACAAATGATATCACATTAAAAGGAAAAATATATGTAAAGAAAAATGTTAATTGCAATAATTATTTTATTTCTTATTTAAAATCAGGTATAAAGGTCAAAACTCACCAAAATAATTGTTTTTGAAACACATTTTTGATGTTCTTTTCTCAGATTTCAGATATGTAAGAATTTTAGATAACTGTATATGGTATTTTGATTTTTAAATATCTGGCATGTTGCAAAGTTCAGTGCACATGTGCCTTTCATTACAAAAGATTATTATTTTTTCACAATCGTTCATTACCATAAGAATTTAATTTGATATTTTAACAGCAAGAGAATGAGAAAAAGGTGGCAGCTATTGAAGAAGAATGGAAATCTAAGTTGCAAGAACTACAGCTAAAAAGTGAGCAAAGTGCAGAATTAAAGGTATGTTGATAAAAATTTAGTAGAATGTTTTGTTTATTTATGAGCTCTTAGGATTTCTAAAGTAATAATTTAATAAACTGTTAATAAGTATTATTCGCATTCATCTTTAATCAATATGCTCAATATGCTAAATAATATAATATTTAGGAAAGTAGCAGCATTATGTCATGAGTGTCTGGAAATTGACTAGTTTAATTATTTATAATACTTTCATGAAAATGTATATACTCTTAACTGGTTTACTCAGTGTATCTCTTTTCATAATATATTTAGATTTTGCTTGATAATTAACTTTTCATTTATTAAATTGACATAATAGTTTTGTGAAAATATATAGCTTCCCTTAGGTTGTTGATAATTTTCTTCTCTGTATCTAGTAAAATGTTATTGATAATACCAGGCATTTTTAGATTTCTACATAATACTAACAGTTACTGTGCTCTTTAGCAGAGTTACCTTCATTCATGAAAGATTTAGGACCTGTTTTTAATTGCTTTTCTACTTGAAGACTGTAAAGGGTATTCCTCCCTCCTCACAAGATTGGCTGCAAGTGCTTTACTTTTGAAGTTTGGATTTTTTAAGTGATAATATCAGTGAATGTAATGTTTCATTTATAAGTATGAAGATTAAAGTTGTCAGCTTCTCCCCAATTTTTTAATGCAAACTGAAAATACAAATTATTCAACATTTTTAAATTAATTTTTAAAAATTGAATATTAATGATGAAAAAAAAAAAGATTCTAATGTATCTTTCTCATTTGGGATTGGGGGGGAGGGAACCCACTAATTCTTTATCATAATTACTTATTTGTACCGGATTTTTCTCTCTCTCTTTTTATATATATATATATATATATATATCGAAATTTGCTGGCAGTTTTATTCTATGTTTTCATTTCTCTCTATCCCTAAAGGCTGGAGATTTAGTAAAAGAATTACATGAAGTGGAAGAAAGAAAAAGTATAAAACTGCCCAACAGAAAGTGGATGAGCTTAATTCCCTTGTATCTGAATTGGAAAAAGACAATGCATCTTTAAAAAAAATACTGTTGAAAAGTTAGAATCTGTAAGTATTATTATTAAGTCAATATTTTAATTATGTATAAAAATATTTTATGTAGGTTTTTTTTTTTTTTTTTTTTTTTTAACCAATAGTATATAAAGAAGTTTATTGCTGAGATTGACATTTTGGATTTTCTTGCTTGTAAAATCAATTTTTATTTTCAATGTATGAAAGTACAGCTGTGAAATGAGATAAAAAAAATGAAAAACGCTTGAATACTTTCTGCATTTGCTTAGAAGAATTTGAAATTTCTTTAACTATGTAACTGTCAAGAAAATTTTTCCAAATTGCTTATGGCCAAGTAAATGTTATTGAAATGAGAGGAAGTAATATAATACATTGTGTTTCAAGATATCTCAGCTTGAGTTTCAGTCTTAATGAAAGGAAACTGGAAGATCAGTCCATTTGTCCTGTTTTTAAACAAGGTTCCAAATTTTTTATTAGATCTGTGCATGTTTTCTGTATACTTTGATTAATAGAATAAAAAAACATACTGCAGTTGATGTAATTTACAGGAACAAGACTAAAATATTTTCGTTTTTTAACAGGAAATTGATATCTGCTGCTCAGATATAGAAAAACTAAAGGCCAGTCTCTCTGATTATGAAATTTTGAAAGAAAAAGGAATTTTATGTAAAGATTTGGAAACTATAAATTTAGAATTAAATGATAAACTTGAAATTTACAAACAAAAGGAGATAAATTTAGTTGAAGAATTAAATGTAAGAGCAGTTGCATTTCATAGCCTTGAAGAGCAAAATAAGGAGCTAATTAATCAGATAGAAGCGTACAAGAAAGAGTGTGATGAAGCATTGAAAAATTTTCAAAATATAGAAAAAGAATTAAAATCAAAATTGCAGTATCTGAATAAAGAACTTCAGGGTTTATTATCTGATAACGAGTCAAAATCAAAAGAAGTAGGTTATTTAAATAAAGCTTTACTAGATGCAAAAAATGAAGAAAAACTGCTACATGAGCAGTTGTCAAAAAGCGAGAGTGAAATTCATCAACTGGCTTCTGAAAAGTCTGAACTAATATCTGAAAAAAAATTATTAGTTAGTGATATTCAGAGCTTGCAAGAGAAGTTAAAAACAAATGAAAACAATCTGTTGTTTGCTAGTATGATAGTAAATGATGCTAAGAATGAGGTTATTTTATTAAATGACGCTATAACTGAAAAAGAAAAAAAAATTGATAACTTACTGAAAATGTTTACTGACCTTGAAAGAGCAGTATCATGCTTGGAAAACAAAGAAAATGACTTCAAAATGATAGTAATGAAATTAAAAAATATATGCTGTGTCATTTTAGAAAGATTTAATTATATTTTTGATGTTTTCAAACTGTTGAATAAAGAAAAAACATCCATTAAATTTCTTCCTGTGGAAGATAGCTTGAAATTAAAACCTGATTCTTATGCAACTTCAAGAAGAGAAGAGAATACTGTTGAGAATAATTTAATTTTTGAAGAGAAATCCAATGTTAATACTGAAAGTGTTGTAGTTAGTGAATTTATCAAAGTCTTGCAGGAGAATTCTACTTTGTCTCTTAAGGAACTGTATGATCTTAAAGGAATTGATTTAAATAAATTACAGAAAGTTTTTAATAAACTTTTTACTGAAAATACAAAGCTGAAAGAAGACTTGGATAATTTGAAAATGTTTTCTGAAACTCAGAATGTTGAGTTTGCAAAAAATATCACTCAACTACACCAGTCTTTGAATGATTTGCAAGATGAACGTAATAACTTAAGTTTAGTCTTGCAGAGCATAGAAGAAACTCATGCATGGCAAGTAAATCCTGAATCTGTAAGTGAAATAAAAAGTGCAAAAGAAAACTTTAAAAAAGATTTGCTTGAAAAGGAAAGTAAAACTTGGACAGAATTTAACATCTCAGAATTAAATTCTAAAGTCAGATCTGAAATAGATGCACTTGCTTCTCAAACAGAGCATATTAACACTGAACTTAAAACTCTACGTGATCAGTTTAATTCATCTCAGGTTGCTTATTCAGAAAAAGTAAAAGAACTTACTGCCAAACTTCTCTTCAGGACTGAACTGCTTTTGTTAACAAGGGAGGACTTAGAGTTCTCAGTTCATAACTGTGAATGTTTGAAAGAATTGCTAGATAATCTGAAACAGGAAATTGCAGCTAAAGAGGACTTGTTGAAAACATGTGAATCAGAGAAAAAAGAGTTAGAAATCAAATGTAAATTATTAAAAGATAAATATTATAAAAAAGAATGTGAATTAAAAGAAATTCATAACTCCCAGCTCTGGGATTTAAAAAACCAAACTAAATTAACAATTGATAAACTGAGTGAACAGATAAAGAATTTAAATGTGGCTCTAAGTAATAAAGATAATGATTTTAAACTGCAGCTTTCTAATGCGAAACAGAGTTGTGATAAAGAAATACTTGTCCTAAAGGAATTATTAGAAAATATAATTTTAAAGTCTGGGAAAGATCTGTCTAATATGGTAAATAAGTTAAATGTGTTAAATTTCAAAATAAGGAGTTTAAGCTGTGAAATGAAGAGTGTATCCTCAAAACTAAGAGATAAAGATGAGCAGATTTTTGAACAGCAGTCTAAGATGAATAGTCTTATACAGCAAAATGAAGAACTTCAAAATCATGTAGAATCTCTCTCAAATCTTTTAGAAGAAGCAAATAAAGCTCTAGAAGAGGAGAAGCAAGAACGGCACATGTGTGAAAATGATGTTATATGTTGGAAGGAAAAGTTTGAAACAACCAAACAGGAAGTTAAAAATATATACTGTGCTGCAGAAATAGATAAAGAGAAACTAAAATTTTCATTGGATGAAACAAAGTCAGAGCTTAATAAGGCAAATTTAAAATATTCAAATATATGTTCTAAATTTGAAGAAGCTGAAGCTCGGATACAAAGTTTAACCACTCAGAGTGCTGAACATGTAAAATTGCAGCAAAAGTGTGACTCATTAATATATGAAATAGAATGCTTAAATAAAAGTTTGAATGAGGAAAAGCAAAATTGTGTTTTGAAAGATAATATCCTTATTGAATGGAAAGAAAAGTATGAGTCTGTTATATCAAAAATTAAAGAAATTTCTTTAAAAGTGGACTCGGATATGTCTAAAATAAACATGCTTCTTTATGAAAAAAATGTGCACATGAAAAATACACTGTCAAAATTTGCAGAACTTTCTACAAAATTTAAAAATGAAAGCAATGAAATTTTAAAGTTGAAACAGAAATTAGTTGTGAATTCTAAAGAATTAGAAAGTGCTATAGTTGAATTAAAAGCAGAAAAGGAGAGCAAAATAGTGACTGAAAATGCGGTTTCAGATTGGCAGTCTAAATATAAAAGTTTAGAATGTAATCTGGCTGAAATTTCTTCTGAAAAACAGAAATTAGAAATAACTTTGAAAGAACTAGAAAATATTATAGCTGATTTAAAAGTAGAAAAGGAAAACAAAATGTTGGCTGAAAATGCAATTTCAGAATGGCAATCTAAATATAAAGATTTAGAATGCAGTTTGGCTGAAATTTCTTCTGAAAAGCAGAAATTAGAGATAACTTCAAAAGAACTAGAAAATATTAAAGCTGATTTAAAAGTGGAAAAAGAAAACAGAATTTTGGCTGAAAATGCAGTTTCAGAATGGCAGTCTAAATATAAAGATTTGGAATCCAATTTGGCTAAAATTTGTTCTGAAAAGCTGGAATTAGAGATAACTTCTAAAGAAATGGAAACTATTATAGCTAATTTAAACGTGGAAGAGAAAAACAGAATTTTAGCTGAAAATGCAGTTTCAAATTGGCAGTCTAAATGTAAAGATTTAGAATATAGACTGGCAGAAATTTCTTCTGAAACACTAACCAAACTAGATCAACTTAAATCTGAGCTTGCTATAAAAGAATCCGAACAAAAGGGTCTTGAAAAGAAATTATCCGAGTCAACTGCTGAGATGGAAAAACTGAAAATACAGTGTGCAAATTTTCTTGAATTACAGGAAGAAAAAAATAAATGTCTTAAAAATTTACAATTTGCAGAAAAAATGTTAGACGAAGAAAAGAAAATTAGAGCTGCAGTTGAAGAGAACGTCATTGAATGGAAATCAAAATATGATACTGCACTATCTGAAGTTAACAAATTTTCTGATTTGCTTGAAAAAGCAGAAGAATCTATAAAACAGTTGCAGTTTGAATTAGAAGAAAAAAATTCAGAGGTTGAAAAAACTGCTGTTCTTGCAGAAGAGTTTGAATCCATGCAGCTAAGTTATGAAACTCAGATAAAAAATCTAAATGATTTGACTAATAAGCTGAAAGCTGAAGCAAAGAAGCTTTCCATCCTTGTAGATGAAAAGGAAACTATTATAAAATGCATCCAAAAAGAACAGGTATGTATCACTTTATCTTTCAAATATCATGCAAATGTATTTAAAAGTATTATAGCAATACTTTTTTATTTAGTCTTGGGAAATAATATTTAGAATATGAGCATATGCTAGTATAGAGGAATACAAAACTGAATTCATTTGCTAATAAAGCCTTTTTCTCTTTAATAGTAGATAAAATTTTATAATTTTGTTTTTTATGATTAGTAATATATGAAATTAGAAATGTGAATAATTTTTCCATTTGACTTTTTACTGGCTGAAAGTATTCTCATTCAGTGTAACTGTACTGTAAAATGAAAAGAGTCGTTAAATATTATTGAGATAACATATTACACCCAAATAAATATACTACTTTTTTAGAATGGAACTTGCATGAAAAGAAATTATCTGACAGATTAATTTTAATTTGATCTGATCGATTATTAGTCAATTCATATTCTTAAAGATAGTTTTATTTCTGTGCAGAAGTTTTTACAAAGGGAAAATACAGCCTTAGCATTACCAGTTTCACCTGATTTCTGCATGGTTAAAATATGCTATAAGTTGAACTTTTTTTTTTTTTTTTTTTTTTGAAGGTGGGAATAATACCTTAATTATTTTTTATATCTCTGTTTTGATAAGCTCAAATCAGATATCCATGCTCAAGATCTGTTTTGCAAAAATGTTTGAATGCAAAGTAATTTGTGCTGTTGTCAGTTTAGTCTCTCTCTCAAGCAACTGTACTGTTGTAAATATTTTTAAAATATATGCTTGATGGGAAATTTTAAAAACTCAATATAAATTTTTATTGACAATAAAATAAAACTGATTTTTTTTAAACTTTACACTTTTATTTTGTGTTTTAAAATATTTAATACATTTTGATACGAATATTTTAAAAAAACATAAAAGAGGTAATCTTAAAATATCATTTTTATTAAACTAATAATTTTTTCACCCATTTCTGCCACTAAAAGATTACCAAATATGAAAAAATTGCTTTTTTCACTGCAGTTTTGCAGGTATGTGCCATCTAGTTTTATGTCAGAACTAGGTACATATATGTTCAAAGTACTGAATTTTGGTTGTTTCAATGTTTATTATGCATTTAAATATCTCCTTATCATTAATACACAGAAGCATTTCTGTTTTGCTTGTAATGTTGATAAAAAAACCATAGATATTCTGTGCATAGTTTGGAAAAAAGTCTTATTAATGTGAATTTTCAATTACTCCCATTTCTTTATTGTTCTTTCAGTTTTGTCTTATTGTATTTTGATTGTAATTGTTTCAATTTGTCTGTTTAACATATGTAATTGTTGCTGGTATTGTGCAGCCTTTTAAAACTTATTCAGGAATTTTTAAAGGAATAAAGTGAAAACTTTATTCAAACAAAAAAATTTAAACAAAAAAATGATAATAATAAATTTTAATTGACACAGTTACCTGTACATTTTGTGTATATTATATTATTATAAGAATATTTATCTCACAGCCCTTCAGCATTAAAGAATTGTGCACATAAAATTAATGAGGGCCCATCTTATCTTAAATATGTCAGAAATTTATTATCTTCTGTAAATTTACGAGATTAAAGTATACTTTAAGTTATAAATACATTCTTTTCTTTTGCTAATAGTGATGCTGACTGTGCATTCTTGAAATCATTTCCTTAATATAATTTTGTCCTTATTTGCACTAAAATTTATTCTTATCTGAAGTATTTTTAAAGAAAGAATACAGAAACATTTTCATGGAGAGCAGATTTTTTATTTTTGTAATATATTCTGCTTTTTATTCAAACTATTTATAGCTAAGGGGGGACTATTTCTATATATAATTTGTGATTAATCTGCGTTTCTAAAGGTTGATATAATAAAGGGAAAATACATATTTCTGTAACAATACATTTTCTGTTCATAAGCATCTCTTTATTTTTCCTTATTCTGATTTTTATTAAATTCCTTATTTGATTATTTTTTATATTCCTTATTCTGAGCAGTGATATTTTGTCATCTGCTCAGAAAAAGAAGAGCATTTACATGTTGGTATATCAAAGAATAAATTTCAATTACATCTCATCAAAAAGATTTGAGAAATTCTTGTTCTCTAAATTTTAACCCAGCTTTCGTCTTTGAATAGAAATACGCATCATGAATCTAGCCTAAAGAAAATTAATGAAATGTAGAAATATATGTATTTCGTTTCATATGTTATGCTTTAGATAGTTAATTTTTCTATTACATTTCTCCTTAAAAAATATTTATGAACAAAATTTCTCACAAAATACAAAACAGCAAAGAATGAAACTCAACATAATTTGATCCCCAAACCCTTTTCTCAAGCATCCTGATTGGCTATCATTTAAGCCTTATTAAAATATGTCAGTTAGACAGAAGTAATATAAGTATTATTTAGAATTTTAGACTGAAAAGTGTAAGATAAGTTTTTGGATACATTGCTTTTGATGTTCCTTGTAAATAAGGAGAATTTGAGGCAAATTTTGAGATACTGAGGTTGTGCAATTTTCATTGTGAAAAGTTTCACCAATTTATTTATTTTTTAAAAAATTAAAGACATTGAAATGCAGCTGTAGAATGGTTAATGTGTACCATGCAGTTTTAATTTGTCAAAGAAACGTTGTTAAAATTAAGGAAAGTTATTTGCTGTAATAGGTTTCTTTAATGGAGTTTAAAATTTTAACCTTGGATAAATTGATACTAAGTTATCAGTGGTGAAACATCTTTTATTAATTATTATATTTTTAAACAGTTAGCCATATTATGTAGCATAATAAAAAATCTGTATGAATAATATAAAAAGTAAAATAAATAATACAAGAGCATTTTTATGTTAATAAGTGCTTTGTTGCTAAAAATAAAAATGTAAAAACACATGCATTATTTTTAAAGGCATGAAGGCTTTTCATAGTTATTAATATATTTATATAAGATATTTTGAAAAAAGAATGTTTTATCCTATCTTTAAGCACTACTTAGAGTTTCATTTCTGATATTAAAAATAATAAAGAAGTTCAGTTATCCAAAAAATTCTCACTTTTATGTTGCTGGTTGACTTTAAAAAAAGTTATCCAGTATGTTTCAAAATAGGAAAAAAAAAATGGGAAGCATATTTTTATGAGAAAATTATTAAAAAGTTGTGCATACACAAAAAAGGATAAAAGTTAGGAATAAAATTTTGTTAGTGATTTTAAGTATTAGTTAATCTCTATCTGTATTTTTTAATTGTGCTGTATCATTCACTTTGGCATAGAAGCTGTAAGATTTGAATATATTTTAAAACTATTTCTTTGAATCAGATATAGTATATTATCTCTTTAAATTCTCAAACATCCATTGGTTTCTTATTTTAGCATCCAAGAGCCATTTTATGCTAAAAAAATATAATCTGTTTATGGTGAAATTTGAAGTTTGGCTGGTGAATTAGTCAATATGCACTGCAGTTCTTATATTATTATTTGCCATTTTAAAAGCTTCCTTTAAATTATCTGAAAATATGTAATATTTCATATTGTGGTATTACTTTAAAATTTCTGGGAATAAAAGACTTTAGAATTTCTTGCTTACTCTGACATTTACAGTTTTATTCAAAATATTCTTATGGCCAGTCTTCATATCATCATATATGTCTTATACTTACTGTTGGAAAAATGCAAGGGGGAAAAGTTGTCTTCTTTGCATTCTTCAGCTAAAATTTTGCATCAGAATTCAACAGATTAAATTTTGAACTGCCTTCCACCCCTAAACAAGTATATGTATTCTTTGAAGGCAGACTGGCATGCTTAATTTTAATTTCAGTTGAGACATGTACTTAATGCATTTTCTTTTCATATACAGTCAAAAGTCGTTAATCCGGACTCGTTGGGACTTAGGCGAATCCGGATTATCGATTTTTCCGGATTATAGATCATCAGTTTAAATCTCGTAAGATGGCATGCAGAAATTCTAAAAATAAAAATATCAAACCGTAATTTATGAAATAAAGAACAATTATGATATCTAAAAGGTATCAAAATTTACAAAAAAAAAAAAAAAAAAAAAAAGCTTAATATTTATTTGTTTACTTTTATTAACATTTCTTTCAATGTAAGTTGCTTAAGCTGCTTCGTTTATGTGATAATACTTTCTCTTTAATTCTATAAACAGACATAATTTCTTGTTCAGTTACAAAGTTCCGCTGTTTCAAGTCCCGTTAATTGCTCTGTCGAGAATACCGACTAACTTGTCAATCGAAAATTTTTTTCGTTCTCACTAACCTCCTGTCACCTCTCTTCCTCTTCATGTCTTTATCCATTTTTTGCAGCAATTCCACTTTTTTGTTTGATGGACATCGAAACATACTTTTGTTTTGTAGATCCTTTGGGAGCTCCAGCATTGGAAATTCTATTTAACATAATCGAAAGTTCAAGTTTACTTTATAAAATTGCTCTTACAGTCTGCAAAAAATAATAAGCTGGATCCAATTCGAAAGTTAAGGAACAACGCAATCATCAACATTAACTGAAATAGATAATTAGATAATTTTAGCTTATACCGTCCGTTATACATAAAACGTGCACGCGAAAACGTTTTCTGCGCCTGCGCACACACATATGCACAGTCGTAAAGGCCTATGCGCATGTGTCAACGCGGCACATGCGCAGAAAGGTTTTTAGCTTTGAGGTCCGGATTATAGATCATTCCGGATTATGGGTGTCCGAATTAACGACTTTTGACTGTATTCTTTAGATCTAGATGTTAAGAAACGGTGATTGTTGAGTACTGCAGCTTTTGAGAAAATTTGTCTTGCCCAACTTGGATGGCCAGTTACTTTGTATTGTTTAAAAATAGCTCTTCTGAATGTGTGAAATATTGTTGAGGAAGGACAATGTACAAATTTAGTTCTTTCGTGAGTTAATAATACCTTCAGTTTACAGTGTATTAGCAATATTTTTCATGCATGATATTGATTTCGTATTTCTTCTGTCCATCTTGATTACACTAGATCTATAGTGCTAATTA